GAGATAAATAAAGACTTTATCTAAAAAAGATTGCTTGTGATTGCAACCTCCCATTTGGTAAAGCAATTCACTAAGAGAGCGAGAACGTCCCTCAAAATAAATTTTTTTGTTTGGGGTTATATGGGAAATCGTCGAGCTATCTCAGGCACCTAACGAAAGGCAGATAACTGCCCCACAAAGCATTATAGTAAATAGACGCGTTTTAGAGTAACTCATCTGTGATATACAAAATCAGATGGAGTATGTTAAATATAGATGTGTAAGCAAATAAAATTAATAAATATATAAATAACATAATTTTTTTTAATAATAAAAAATTTCTTCATATTTTGTGATATGGACATATTTTTTGAAATTTGTCAAAACATTTAATGAAAACAGAATTTAGAATTCTTCAACTGTTCAAAATAAATAAAGAATATAAAACAATTTATATTTCCGATATATATACCTGCTGTTTGACTTTTTTTCGTACTTACTCACTTGTATGCAGACTGTAGCACATACTCACTTAAAAACACAGAACAACACGTATTTTTGCTTTGGAAGCGTTTAAGAGAATGCGTCGTCATATCGAGAAACCATTAACAGAATTTCGGCTCACACAAATAATGAGAATGAAAGAACAAGCATACAAATGACTCCTATTAACTGCGTTGCTGTTGTTATTGATAACAGGTACATAAAAACTCGGCAAGGACCTTCAAATCTCAATGTTAAACAAAACCACTTATATGATTAATAGTAGTACTTAACGTATGAGAGGCTCAAATTGAAAATTGTTTTTTAAGATAAATAAATATGGAAAGAGAAATAAATATGGAATACGCGACTTAAAATTAATGAAACTTTCTTCATCTTTTTCATAAGTGCAAGAATATTTTGCTATTTGAAGAATATATTAAAAACGCAATTGCAAACAAAACTGTGGAAAAAACGCAAGTATATTATTACTGTAAATAAACCGTTTCCACAAACGAATAGGATCCAAATGAAGCTCTTGGATCGCTTATTTGACGTTTATCTAGATTTTTTTTCTGTGGTGCTGGGAGTGATAATATAAGCAGGCAACTACCCCCTTATTATCTGTTTTTTTTTAAGAGACAATTGATTATCGCCAATAGGCTTATCAAGTACCATCATCGCCAGCTTTCCAATACTTCTCCGCAAATTTTAAATTTCAATGCATTAATAAGGCGTACGAAGTGAGAGTCAAATTGGTGTTCAAAACAATTTGAATATGATAAACAATAACAAGCATGCAAAATGAAATGAATAGAAAATTATGTAAAGTTTTACAATCGAAAAATGTAGTAAAGTTAAATCCATATTTTTTGGCAGAAAAAGTGAATTATCATATATTCTTTTTTACACAAAAATGAATGTTAAGAATTTCTTTACATTGATTAATTCATATAAATGACACCTTTTTCGTCAGTATATTAAAATTTCTCTTCAATTCTTGTGTGTCAAATCTATTTTTCTTTCATCATATTTAATTTCAATTTAGTTTGTTTCCATAAACTACAGCAAAGATTCAGCTGAATTGGACAATTAATACATTGAAGGACTTAACCTAACTACAATAAAATAAAAAAACTTAAAACAATAGGCAATTAATATAAACATTCAAGAAAATAACCGATGGGGCTGTCAATTACTTCGCAAACTGCGTATCAGGATTCCGAATAATAACATTAGCTATCAGTTTAAGTGAAACGTCGGCGGCGCATTGGCATTAAGAAATATAGCACGCAAGACAATCTGATAACAAGATAAAGTTACAGTACTGATTTAAACTGCTATAGAGCACTCTAAGTGGATAAAAAAGGAAAGTGATAGCGGATTTATTAGTAAATTTAATCCTAGACGTAATAATGCGCTCAAATAGTTTACGCAACAGACTAAGCTTGACAATTCTTGTATAGTTTTCAGCATGATGCCTTTTTTTGCCCACTTTTATAAAGTGGGAGAATAAAACTAGTCTTCCGGGAAACCCACCCCTACCAACAAAACTATTGAAAATGAATGCAATAATTATTCATCTGGATAGTTTTTGAGAATACACGAGGGAAACCTGGCGCAGCATACAACTGTACTTTGAGGATCGTAGAAATTGTAAGATTTCTTCATGAGAGATAATTGTTCTTGGGATGGAAATGCATTCGCTCATCTGGCACGGATATGGCCATGCGGAGTTAAAGTTGCTAGAGATGAAATTAGCGCACAAGGTTGAAATCGGCTTGACAGATGGTGAGAATCCTCAGCTAAGACGAAAGGCAGACAGCGACTAACCGCTAAATCAAGCACATTACAACATATTAGGTCCAAGGCATCTAGGAATTTTTTAAATCTTTCCGGAACCCCAATGGGTATCAGCCCAACCAGTATCAGAGTTACAACGCCAAGAGGCGTTAGATAAGTTAAAGTCACCAAGCACAATAATTACATTCGGTGGCTTAATGCTATCCACTACAAAACGAATAAGTGACGCATGTTTACTGTAAACACATACATCCGATTTGGGAGCAATGTAAGAGTAAATTCCTTTATGCGACTATCACATGAACGGCCATACATTCTATATCCGAAAACACGGGGGAATCAAAATGACATGGACAAGTGGACACAGGTCGAAAAAAGCTCCGAAAGCTTCAGCTAAGTGCAGGAGAAGTTCCCTTTAAGCGACGTTCCGATTCGGTTTAGGGCGGTTACCTTGCTTCAGCGTAGTTTTCTTGAACAACTCTTGTTGTTCATTAAAGTTGTCGCAAAATGCAATTAATTTTTTGGACATATCCTCACGCTTGGTTTGAGAGAACAACGTGTTGAAGTTGATTTTACTCGCTCTACAATCAGGGCAAGAGCAATGAATCATTTTTAAAGGGTAATGCAATGCGTTAATTTCTCTTGCCGATAGCCCAATTACCGTGAACGACGCGCTTACGAAGACATCGTACAACAATTAAATCCGAAATAGATTTCGACACAATTCGGGCGAAGACAATCCACACCAGAGTTTTGAAAAGCAATCAAAAAATATAGGTGGTCAGTATATTAAAACTAAAAAATACACGATATTCAATGACCTGGTAACTGGTAGTAAATCAACCCCAACTGAATAAGACCAAAAACGGTTTTACTATTATTGTTGAAGATGTTGCTGCAGTTTTTATTATTATTATTATTATTGTTGATTCATGCGTTATACCATAGCCAACTAGTTTAAACGAATAATAGGGGCTTTAATGCTTAGCGAATTTTTACAAAGATGGTCCAACTGTGTATTTATAAGCGACACTGTGCAATTCGCGTTTAAGTCAGGAATTGCTTACCCGCCTTAATTCGAAAGCAAGGGAAGAGGTGATGGACGCTTTATACACGCCCATTACACAGATCTCGTTTGTGGCGAATAAAAACATGTGATGCTACCGAGCATATTAAAAAAGTAATTTTTTATCTATAAATTACTGGTATAGGAAAATAGAAGGTCGATATAATATTTTTGTAATGATCTTATTCTTCGTGTCGCTATTATTGTTGTAGTTGTTGCTTTTGTTGTTGTTGATGATGATGATTGCAATACTATCCTCTCAATTTTGTTTTTCTTTATTTTTGCATTATATTTCTTATATTTTGTATTAATTTATTATACTTGTTACACTTGTTTTGTATTGAAAACATTTAACCCAATTTTATGCACTTATTACAATCTCATTGCTAGGATTGCTGGGATTTAAATGTAAATATCTTAAAGCGCCAGCCCTCCGAACGTTCACAATGCAAGTAAAAGTTTTTGATTAATTTACGCAGCAGCGGTGATAACTAACCCCTACTGACATAAATTTAAATGATTTATAAGATTTACAAAATAATTTCAGCCAAACAGGAAAACCGCGATCACGCACGCCTAAGGGTTGCCAAGGTAAAAGGGAACAATAAGAAGAAAATCCAGTGTATAAAACGTTTTACTCTGAGCATTTATTTAGTTTTTATGTAAACTTTTGTGCGACTTGAAAGTTTGAGAAAATGTTATTTATATTTTCAAGATTGTTATGTTTATAAATTTCATGCCAGCAATCTTCTAACTTCTTCACCGAACTGCCTTAATTGCAGTGCCTCCACATAAACATCAACATAAGTTGTTTGGGGTACTGGAGAATTCAAATGATCTCCTCCTAGTTTTTAATGAATACAAATGATGTGCAGCACCTCGCAAACGTTCGCAATTCTTCCCAGTTTCTTCGGGTTGTAGCAGCCCCTTCGTTCTTCCCGTATAATACCAGCGACCTAGAGAAATGTTCAAAAACTGTAGTTAGATTTCAGAAATATTAAATTCTGTAACACTAATCTTTATGTACACCAATTCATCTTTGCTTTGGAAACGCGTAACTTGTGTGTACATCTGCATACAACGACACAACATACATTTATATGTAATTTGTAAATATTAGAAAAAATTTACTTATTCTTTTTAAGGTAGCGCTAGGGGGTCAGAAGAATCATGCAACACCTTTTGCGCCCGCCTCATGATGATCCCTTCTTATTAGTCGTGACTGTCATTGTTCTCTTCCTTAATTAACGAACATTAAAGAAGGTTGTGACGTTTTACCAAATTTCTTTTCTTTGTTTCACAATTCACGAATATAGCTTCGGACACACTTTATTTTTTTTTTTTTTTAATGTTTTTGAATTAATAATTCACTTTCTAACACTTGTGTACATTTCCCTTTTGCAACAACTTCTTTACAAAATCAGCTTTAAAAGGGAGATTTGAGGTAACTTTGTTTGGTTTATACGCAATACTTATGCAAATTTGTTCCCAGCGAAGGAAATTTTATCGTCGCCGGATTTGACTTCATCGTAATTTCAAATTTCAGTTTAACTTTCCAAATACATTGTTTAAAATACTAAAGACAAAAAAAAATCATTAATTTTTTCGTGAGATGTGGTAAATGATCACATCAAATCTGGAATACATATCAACGAAAATACACACTCACGTTTTATGTGATTATATGCTTTAACCCAATTGATTAGGAAACCAATAACAGCAACTCGTTCATTAATAATGTCATCATCCGTACAATTCAAGACAACTGTTGCCCAATCATCCTCCGTTCGGCATCTCTTGCGATAAATGAAATTTGGCAGAGTAGAAAAGTTTCTATTATCGCCAATATCCCTCCAGGTTTTACTTGTAATTACCAAAGTAGAAGAAAACAATGACGATTCTGTTAATCGTTCTGCTGGAACTAGTTTTGTGGAAGTGTAGACATCTAATCCATTGCCACGATATATTTTTGAGAGGTTATGAAATACTACATTTTTATTATTGAAATCAGGCAAATTATCAGTGATACCTGTGAAAAGTCACATACACAGGATATCATTGGATTGAACTTTCACAGCTAATCATTTAGCAGTCAAAAGTGCTATGGCGTGTTGAATGATGGGTGAGTGTATATATACAGGAACAAATAGGCATCCCTATTACTGTAAACTACTATTTGCTTGGGTCATCAGAATTTATGTAACCAAATACGTAATTATATCAAAACACTTAAGTTACAAATCACATTGCAATTTGATTCCTTGTTAGTACTTACAACATATGTATGCTCATTCTAAATACCATAACTGCAAATTTGAAAATTGCCAAAATCAGGCGTGACCTGTCGCGGCTTCAGAGAAACAGACACGTTAAATGTGTTGTTTTTCCTGAATATTGCTCTTAAATCGTCCAATTTTTAGTTTAGAAATTTTTTTTTAATAAAATGTCTTTTCTAAAAACTTATCCACAATTCCGAAGAAATTCTTTAAAATGATGTACGTAAAAATGTCTTTATAAAGTGTTTCCAGATCAAACAATAATATGGTTTAGGATTTGGACCTTGTTTTGAGTTTGCAAAAAGCTTTCGCTCAAAATACATTAATGAATGATTTATTATACTTGTGTTATATAAAAGAATTCGACTCAGTATTCAATTCGTAGCAGTAATAGACATCGACTTTAATCACCGAATCTACGTTATTGCCTATCACGGCAATAAATATATTTACGTAATCACACTTTTGCTTGCTATCATTTGTTCTGCGCCGGGTCTTCCTTCTCCTTGGAATCGCAATCGTATCAGCTTCAAGTTGACTTGGCTAATTAGGTTACGTGGTGCTCGTTAAATTTTATGAAAGTAATTCTAAAAAAATGCAAAAAGCTTTCTTTCTCAACGAGAAAGTCATTCAATACTAACTATTTCATTGACTCACACAAGTTTGAAAACGTAGATTTGTCCGTCGACTTACGGGCTCCATTCGACCAAATATTATTATATTAATTTGCACATTGAGCACTTTTACTACTCAAGTAAACCTAGGTGGACGCTAGGTTTTGTGAAGGGGTGGTGCAAAGAGCTTAAAGATTCTTACGTTACAAATCGTTTATACATGTGCTTAGTTAGACTGATGTTTGAGTACGGCTCTGTTGTGTTATCTCCCTCCTACAGGTATTATATAGATTCAATTGAATCAGTCCAAAAGCAATTCTTGCTGTTTGCCCTTAGAAATTTAAGTTGAGACCCGCTTGTGTCTTGGCCTCATAGTTCAAATAGATTGCTTCTTACCGTCACTTAAGAAACGTATGTTTATTCCTGGTGTCCCCTTCTTAATTAAGTTAATTAAGCGTAACCCATTTGTCCACATCACTTAGTAAAATAATCTTTAATGTCCCTAACTCGTTCTCTAGGCACTTAATGTTCATTAAGGTGAGTCAATGTAAATATTATAATGAGCAGTTTAACCCGTTTAGACTTGTTTGCAGAAACCTAAATTACGTCTATAACTTAATCTTAATATTTGATTCTTTAAAGTCTTTCAAAACAACTTTACTTAATAAGCGCGATTTGTCTATATCGTTTTCTGAACATCTGGCTATGATTCGAAAAGTAACTTGTTTTGCTTGGCGTTCGCCTGCAACTTGGATCTGTCCTGGTTGCGGGCGTATCTCTGTGCCTGCGGTGTCCATCTTTTTTATTTAATTTAAGTAATCTATTTTCATTTTTTCTTTACTTCTCCATACATACTAGTTGTTAATAATGATGACTAAAAGATATGCTTGGAAGAATCAATTGAATTCGGCTTCTGGTTTATTTTAGTTGTTTCATGAATAAGTAAATAAATAAGTAAGGCACCTGAGAAAGGCTTTTGATAACATAATTAATGTAATATTTTAGCTTACTTATTATCTCATATTGTAACTATTCGAATTCATTTTACAAAATATGTCATAGTCATTAATTCCGAAAATAAATTGTGAAACAAGAGTTACGTTTACGAGCAAAAAATGATTGCTTAAGCTTGTAACATGTAGTGGTATAATGTAAGTAAGAGTGGTTACAAATGCAAACTTGTAATTAGGAGTTTGGTAATTTCATCCACGAAGAGAGGTTTGACGTTGAGGAGAAAAACTGCAACCAACTTTATGAAGATAGCGGAAGAAAAAAAATGGTGCTCCTGTGGTTAAGTTTTTAGAGTAGTGAGTAAAACATTTGTTAGAACAAAAATAAAAGTGGAAATAAATAAAAAGGTTGTAATAAAAATTACATTTACAATTAATAAGACATGAAATACCAAAAAATTTAACGGTTTTCCAAAATGTTAAGTCGAAAACAGATTTTCAGATTCGGGTATACAGGGAAATTGCAAGAGAAAGAAGAGAGAGTCGTGAGAACCAAAAAGAAATAATTAAATTGTCCGGAATTAATTTAGGCCAAACAAAAAGTTTTACTTTAATAGGACAGTTATCGACTTGTGTTCTGAGTAGTGCGTGTTTTGTTTTTCGTCTGCGATTTTTTAACTGTTTTCGGTGCTTTTCGGTGTTTTTGTGTGTTTAACTCGTGTGTTCTCTGTGCTTTTGCAAAAACTGATTGTCGCAGATACGATATTTGCTTTCTTTTTCTGCAAATATAATAAAAAAATCAAAAAAACAAAAAACATAAAAGAAAAATAAAATATTGAAAACAATTGTCATTATCCTCAGCCTTTTCAAGTGAGTGGTTATTTCCCAATTTATTAATTTAGAGACAACCAGAAGGCCCCGGGGCCGCCTGATATAAACTCAAATAGATTTCGTGTATTAGCAGACGTATCCCCTCAAAAAAAAAAAATTAAAAATTCCGAATTTCCGGTGTTGCCAACTAGTAGTATCGTTCCTATCGACAAAAAATATGTTGTGATTTCTCCAACTGATCCTCCATAAAAATTTCGCAATTCAGCCCTTTCGCTATTAAAAAAGCACTAGATTGCATTACAACGCATATAGACTCTATATCGATTTTACGCGATGGAAATTTACCGCTAAACTGCATGACAAACTGAACTCGTTTAAAAACGTAGTTTATGCCCCATGCTTAAAGCATGTGCCGGAAGATGAAATTGTGCGCGAAATGGGCAGTGAAGGAGTGACTGAGGTCTGCAAATTCACCAAATTAAATAACCATGGAAAAAACCGCTCTCCTACAGGAAGAATTGTTTTGTCTTTTGACCGCTATCGGCTACCGGCAACAGTTGATGTAGCTTGGTACAAATGTAAAGTAGAACTATACATCCCAAATCCTATGAGGTGTAAAAATTGCCAACGCCTGGGCCATACGGCAAAAAGATGCATCAGTCCTCCATCCTGTGCTAACTGTGGTCTTCCTCCGCATCCTGAAAACTGTACGCGTAGCTTCTGCTTAAATTGGAACGATCAACACTCTGCGTGAAATTCGAAAAATCAAAACAGAAAATTACTGTAGCATGGGCGAAGCGCGACGCACATACCGGGAAAGAAAGCCATCTGTAGCCCATGGAATTGACAAAAGTAATACCTACGCTGCTGTTGCCTCGCAAATCGAGCCTAGTAAGACTTTAACTCCAACTGCTTCCAATGAAAAACCTGTTCCCCCATTAACCAAAAATTATATTGCGAAACCAGTTACATCACCCGCCAATGATAATATTGAAAAAACCAAAGCAACTGTAAATATTGAAAAAATTAAAACAATAACACATATGCTAAAATCTAATATACCAAATTCTCCAGAATCTCCAGCTCTCAACTTTACTCAACAAATCACAAGTGTTAATGAATCCATTCTTTCATCCCTCAATCAACCTTCAATTTCAAATTATTCACGTGCGCCAACCCGTTGCGCTTCAAATGTACCAAATCACCTAAATACAGATTATTCTGCTGGTAAGAATAAATCATTCACGAAAAATTCCTATAGTGACCTTCTCGACGGAGACGCTGACATGTCAACTTAACCCTCCCTCCACTCTGCTTACATGTCATTACAATTAAATAAAGTTTTTAAAATTCTACAATGGAACATTAAGGGACTTATTAATAATTTTGATGAACTCCGTACACTCATAAGTGATTTTAATCCAACCTTTTTATCGCTTCAAGAAACCCATTGTAGAAGCTCTTTTAATCCTATTCCACCCAAATCATATACCAGATACTTCACGAATGCTGATCAAAACTCATATTCCAAACAAGGAGTAGGTGTTTTTATAAAATCAAGTATACCTCACAAACGCATAAATTTAAGCTCAAATATACTAGCCGTAGCGATACAAATAATGTTAAGTATAAAATTTACAGTGCTTTCGCTCTATATTCCATCTTCGCAATCGTTTTCTCAGCAAGAACTCTACAATTTATTCTCCGTACTTTCTTCCCCATTAATTATATGCGGCGATTTCAACAGCTGGAATACCATCTGGGGCTCAACAGTGAACAGCACTCGCGGTACTGTTTTAGAAAAGGCCTTTTTTCAAAGCAACCTTTGCGTTTTAAATGATGGAAAACCAACGCACTTCTCAACTCATCATACTTTTTCACACTCATCATACTTTTTCACATATTGATTTAACATGTCGCTCTCCCTCACTTCTTCCTTTGGTTTCCTGGTCTATTTCTGATGATCTACATAATAGTGATCACTTTCCAATCATAATCGATCTTAAACTTTCAACGTCCTCTGCTACTCCAGCAAAACAGGCCAAATTCCTCCTAGATAAAGCGGATTGGATCAATTACTCCAAACAGGTGGAGTCATTTTTGAATTCAAAGCCATTTAACGAGAACTGCAACCATGATGCTGCTATTATGTCCAAAGCGATTCGCACGGCTGCTCATCTTTCTATTCCTCAATCCAACAGCTCTTTTAAACGAGCTCTGGTTCTTTGGTGGAACAACACGCTTTCGTTTTTGAGGAAAAATAAAATGGATCTATGGCACCGCTTTAAGAGATGTCCTGATCAGAATCACTTGTTATTATACAAAAAGGCCAATGCTTTATTCAGGAAGGAATTACGG